AGGGTGATATTTTCCCTGACAAAGATCAACTTAGATCTTTCCTAAGCCCATCTGCCTTTTTTTTGCCTCTAATAACATACTGTATCTGTGAGATGAATGGGTAACTTGTAACTTCCCTTTTTTCTGGAGCCCCAGATGTGGTGGGCGCCAGGACAGTTACCACAAATTCCTTCATCATCATATTAATTGTTCCTGCACTCACCTACTTTTCATCATTTTACAATACTTTTTATCCAATCCCAGAGGTTTCCCCACTTTGCTCTGTCCCACTTCCTTAATCAGTCACCAATGAATTTTATGTAACCCACCTATGTCCCTCCTTTGATTGAAATGTATAAATACAGGTGTAACCCACCATTCTCTGGAGCATTATCTCAATTCATTGAGGTTCTGCTTCTCAGCATATGTCGACAGTTTGGCTCAAATAAACTCACAAAAATTCTGTACAGGTTTCAATGTGGGTGTTTTTTTTGTGTTGTTGTTGTTTTGTTTTGTTGTTGTTTTTTTTTTTTCGTTACCAGGAGAAGTGTGGAAAGCCATTTCACAGAACGTTTATCCTCCTGCTTCACTCAGGGACAGACCCGTGCTGCTCACGGAAGGGGGAAGTGAGCAATGTGCTGAGGCAGCCTTATGCTTCACCAAACGGCCCAGAGGGCACATGTCTTGCCTGGGAACTGCTGAGGAGGCTGCTTCTCTCTTCACATGACCGCAGGCTCATGATTCTGACCCCCTGCCTATGGACAAAGCCCTGACCCGTCCCGCCCCTCCATGGAGGAGCAGACGGGGTGAATCTAGAGGGGGCGGTCTTGTGGGGAGTCACGCCCCAATGAGAGTGGGGCCAGCCAGGCACCTGCCCTTTCCTGCCCTGCCTCTGACCCCGCCCACCCGCTTTCCCACACTGTGATCATGCTGTCCCCACCTCCTGGTGGTCCCTTGGACCCAGCCCTCATGCCCACCTGCTCTCCACCCGCTGCTGGCATGACCTCTGGCCTCCTGCTCTGTTGGTGACCCTCCCAGGCTGGCTGTCCCTCAGTCCTGGCAGAGCAGCCATGGACTCACTTCTTATTCTGCTGGGAGCTGCCTGATTCAGCATCCCTGCCCCTGGCTGAGCCCACTCAGGGAGAAGATCACTGAACACTGACCGGATTTCCAGGTGTCCTGGACCTTCTCCTGGGGTGGGAACAGCTTCCTAGGCTACGGAACGGGATGAGCAGATTGAAGCCACCCCAGTGAGGCCTGGGCTGGGCCAGCCCCCATGGCTGCTGGGACAGCACGGACTCCCTGGAGCCCTCCCCCACGCCCCCATGGCCCTGGCGAGGGCCACTGAGAGGACACCGACTCTCCCTGCACACCCCACGCGCACCCCCAAATAGTGCACCTGCGGCAGGCAGCGGCTGGGCCGGTTGGACACCCCTGCTGCCAGGACATCAGCTTCTTCTCTCAGCACGACATCGCGTGAAAAGCAGATGCTGCAAAGCTGTGCCGGAAAGCATCTCCCCCAGGACACGCACCTGACGAAGGAAGGTCCTGGGGAAACTGCTTCCAAAGGAGCGTCTCTTCCAGAAAGCCTCGCTGGACCCCTGCCCGTCTCTTCCTGCCTCTCCCTGGACCGCGGGCTCTGAGGCCGTGTGTGCCCAGCCCTGGGGCCCCGGGGTGACCAGCACTGTGTGCCCAGACAGCTGCTGGGCAGCGAGACAGGAGCCCCATTCCACCGGCCAGCGTGTGTTCTGAAAACCAGGACCTGGGGGTTCCCAACCGGGAGGTCCCCCTGCCCTGGCACCCAGGGCAGGGACTCGGTTAGGAACAGCACCCCTCGGAGAAGTCTCCAGGCCCAGCGCGGAGAGGGCTCCGTGCAGGTGCGGGTGGGTATGATGGCAGCTTTCCCATAAAGTGAGAGGGAGGAGGTGCGGGGGAGGAGGATGTGAGAGGGCAGGACAGGGTTAACCCCTGACTCAATTTGTGCTGCTGTCCTCCATTTTGTATAACTATGTCACTATGTAACTGGACCCTAACCCTCACCCAACCAATTGGGGTCAACCAAAGCAGTGACCTCACCACCCCTCTAAATCCTTTGTTCTAGAGAAACCTGCTCTCTTCCTCCACCTGCCGCTGCATCTGTGTGTAGGGGTGAGCTCAGGCTAGCTCAAAATAAAGACTCTTTTGCTTTTGCATCGGACTCGGCTCTCTGGCGGTCTTTGGGGACCAGGAAGTCTGGGCCTAACAGATGTCCCGCGTTGGGAATGAGTAGTTGGCTGAGTCTGTGAAGAGCAGGGATGGGGGAGGCGTGGAGAGCAGGCCATAGCACCCCAGTGGCCACGCGGGGAGCTGAGGACGTTAAAGATGAGTTCGAGCCAGGACCGGTTTGGCTCAATGGATAGAGCGTTGGCTTGGGGACTGAAGGGCCCCGGGTTCGATTCCGGTCAAGGGCATGTACCTTGGTAGTGGGCATATCCCCAGTAGGGGGTGTGCAAGAGGCAGCTGATCGATGACTCTCATTGATGTTTCTAACTCTCTATCTCACTTCCTCTCTGTACAAAAATCAATAAAATAAAATAAAAAAAAAGATGAGTTCGAGCTCCAAGGTGTACAGGTTGAGCCTTTGCAACCAAGACGAGGCTGTCTTAGTAACGGCAGGGAGGGTGGCTAGAGGTCTCAGTGGAGACGGCGTTAAGGGAGCCTGCTATCCGCTGGGAAAGCCAGCATCAGTGCCGGCAAGATGAAGCTCGAACGGTTATTGGAAAAATAAAACTGTTTCGTGTTGATACCTCGAAGGCTTGAGAGTCTTGGATCAAATCCACTATATTTAAATATTTACACGCGCATTTATGCTTGTATCCACATAGATCTCCCGGGAGGATGTGTACAGCGGCCTCTGGGGGAGGCCTGGGGAGAGGGATCGACTTTTCATCTATTCATTTCTACCTTTTGACTTCTCTCGTACCAGAGGCATGTATGTTATCTTAAATTAAAATGGGTTAAAGTTTTAAAAAACATTTTTGTTAAATAGAACTGCGTGAGGTTTTCCTGAGTATGACCTTAAAGCGGGTCTAAACGGATTTTCTCGTAAGGCCCCTAGTGGAAGAGGGGGCAGCTGGCTGCCCACCCACCCAGCAGCCCTTCATGGGCAACAGCTGGTGTGGCCTGAGTCTGCGGGCTGGGCCGCCGGCTGGCGGGCTGGACGTGGGTGCCAGTGCTGCCACCTCACTGGGCAGCCGCGTGGTCACAGGATCGGAACTAGCCCGTCTTTTGCTCCTAACTGGTTCTTCTGTATCTACTTCTGGGACTGCCACAGAGGAGGGCCGGTGGGGTGTGTGTGTGTGTGTGTGTGTCACACCCCTCCAAGAACCAGCACCCCAAATTGCAGGACCCCAGCCAGAGGGCCCTTGCAGAGCTGCAGGTCTAAGACCCACACTTCGTGGATGGGGAAACTGAGGCTGGGGGCAGAATCAGAGCTAGAATTCAGGTCTCTCCTGCTTCCCAGGCCAGAACTCTGTGAGTCCCACCAAGGGGCAGGTGACCAGGAGGGGCCCTGGTGCTTAGGTGGTGGCTGAGGGTGAGAGGATTTAGATGGGCCCCTGTCACTCCTGAGAGGAACCCAGACAACTGCCTGTGGGAGCTACTGGCCCACTTGACTCTGCCACCCCCTCCCTGGGCGGCTGCTCCCACCTCAGGCTACTCGCCATGCCTCCCCTCTCTCTCTCTCTCTCTCTCTCTCTCTCTCTCTCTCTCTCTCTCTCTCTCTCTCTCTCACACACACACACACACACACACACACACACACACTGTCCTCTCCCTCCTGACTGGCCCACTGGACCATGCCGGCCGGGGAAGCAGGGAGTGAGGACAGTCTGAGCGGAGGGGCTGTGTGTACATGTGCAGACCTCCTGCCTGCCCGCTAGGCCCTACATCCCCGAGGACAAGCCCACAGGCGCTCCATCCCAGGCGACACCGGGTGACACCTGGTGCACACCCCGTGCACACCCAGACACAGGCCCCGGAGTCAGAGCTGGCCGGGCACCACATACGTCAGAGCATAAAAAGGGGTCCCATGGCCAAATACACCTGGGACACCCCGTGTTGATCTGAGGAAGCGGCTGCTTCGGGCGGGACTCCTCGGGCCTGTCAATGGCTGGTGAACACGGTGTCCCCCCGACGGCCACGGGTGCTCATGCCGTGAATGACCACGGAGTCCACGCACAGAGCAGGCAGTGCATGCTGGGAAATGCCGGGCCAGACCCACTCCGAGGCCTGAGGTGCACAGGGCAGAGGGGGCCGGCTGGAACGGGCACGTAGAAATAAAAGCCCCCTTCCACCGGTGGGAAAGGCAGCTCAGTGCGATTTTATTGGGACAGGATCCTCTCCTGCCGCTGCCGGAGACGTCTCATCGTGAACACTCAAGTCCACAATCCCCGTGGGTAGGGCAGCCCCTCCCCATCTAAGGCATTCCCCTCCAGGGTGTAACCCGTCCCAGCAGGAAGGCACCCTGGGTCCCGCCACCCGGTCCCAGCCCACTCGCCACTGCTTTTCTGCTGCACGACTTCTCCTGTCCCAAGTGAGGGCTCTGAACTGTCTGCTCAGCCTCAGCCCAGCTGAACCCCACAGGCAGACAGGGGCACTGGGGCTCCCTCTGTTCCCCCCACCAAACACACACACACACATCTCCAGTCTACGGAAGGCTCAATGATTGCCCCTGCACACAGTGCTTTTGCACGGAGAGCACTGATGGGAGGGGGGAGGGAGGAAGGAAAGAGAGAGGGGCTGAGATCCAGATCCAGCCTGGGCTTGAACTTGCTGTGTGACGATGGGGCAGTCCCTGGCCCTCTCTGGCCCAGCTTTCCCTCCCATAAAACGAGGAGGTTGAGCTCAATCATTTCCAGGAGCTCAGAGTCCTGGCTGAGACCTCCTCCCCTCTGAACCCCGAAAGTGGGAAAGTCACTCCCAGCTGCTGAGAGAAAGACGGTCCAGAAGACAGCAGACTGTAACCCGGAGGGTTTTTTTTTTTAGACTAGGAAATATAATTTATTTCATAAAAATTAATTCTGTTACAATAGGAATGCTAAATGTTATGTACAGGCTGTAGTTTACAGAACAGACAGGCGGGACGGGGCCATTCCTGCAGCCCCCGAACGGACGCGGCCCAGGCAGGGGGTCCAGCCCTGTGCCCCCAGGAGAGCTGCTCCCTGGCCCCGAGCTCCGAGTCACCCCCCTCAGAGGACCTGCGGAGGGACCTGGCTCAGCTGCCGGCTGTGGGGGAAGCGGCCCTGGATCCCGGGGCACTTCAGAGAGGGCGGAGGGAGAGGCACGTAGAGGATACACCGACAGACCCTGTGGTCTCAGAGAGGGCAGCGGACAGGCACGCCGCCTCCACACATCCCCACGGGGACTGGAGGAGGGCACACTCACACGAGCGGGGACACGCTTCCCGACGGGAGCCCTGATGTGCCCGTGTGAACACACACACACACACACACACACACGCAGAGCACACGCACACACACACACGCAGAGCACACACGCACACACGCAGAGCACACACACGCAGAGCACACGCACACACACACACACGCAGAGCACACGCGCACACACACACACACGCAGAGCACACGCACAAGCACACACACACGCAGAGCACACACACACACACACACGCAGAGCACACACGCAGAGCACACACACACACAGAGAGCACACACACACGCAGAGCACACGCACACACAGCACACGCACACACGCAGAGCACACACACACGCAGAGCACACGCACACACACACAGCACGTGCGCACACACACGCGCAGAGCACACACACACACACACACACACGCACACATGCACACACACACACACACAGCACGTGCGCACACACTCGAGCACAAATATACCAGAGAGGAGAGAGACAGAGACGCCCACCTGAGGGCCACACAGGCCCCGCAGTGGGCCCTGGCCTGCAGCTTTCCATGCACCTGGGCACGTGAGGCTGCCCGGGTGCCACCCGAGGCGGGCAGCGTGGGATGAAGTCGCAGCAGCCTCGGTGGATGGGCGGAGCCAGGAAGCCCCTCCTGGCTTTTCTCACAAAACCGGACCGAGAGCTCTTCTTGTCCCAGGCCCTGAGCAAGCCTGAGGGTGGGGCAGGCAAAGCACAGAGCTTCTACCACGGGGTTCCCATCGGAGCCTAGAACGAGGGCCTCACACAGCAGCTGCGGCCCCCTAGGTGGAGGAAGGAAGAGGCCCAGAGCGGGCAGCCACAGGCCCGAGCCCCACAGCTCCACGGCACCGCTGAGGGCTGAGTGCTGGTCTGGGCTGCGGGGGCCGTGGCCATCCTAGAGCCTGTGGTGGGCAGGGCACCGGGTGGCTCCACGCTGACACACAGGCCCCACGGCGTGGGCTGGGAGTGACCAGGGAGGCTGAGCCCCAGGGAGGCAGCACCCACGTGGGCTCTGGGTCAGGAGCTGGGGTCCCAGCCCCTGAGGCAGGCCCGTCCCCTTCAGTCCCGACCCAGGGAATCCTCTCTCAAACTCGGGGCAGGACCTCACCTGCCCACAGCCGACCCCCACCCTGAGGAGGCTGCGGGTGGCAGGAAGCCAGCTGGGGACGCTGCCTGGGACTGCAGCCCTGAAGCAGCCTTTCAAAGGCCAGGCCGTGCCCAGGCTGGTCCCCGCAGCTGCTGCTGGGCCTGCTGGGGCAAACCCCGGGGTCAGTGCCCGGAGCTGCCGGCGAGCTGGCACTTGCCTCGCCTGGGTGCCAAGGAGAGCCTTTAATGAGGTCTCCATGCCAGCTGCCTGGTCCCAGCCATTGTCAGGCAGCTGCAAAGGGCCGGGACCATCCCCCCAATTTGCGGCCCTGCTGGCCCCTCAGGACATTCTGGTCCAGGCTGGTGAGGGGTGCAGCCCTCCACTGCGGCAGCCCTTCCTGCTCAAAGGCAACCTACCTCAACATCTCCCAGAGCAGAGGGAGGCTGAGAGGAGGAGGGAGGGAGGTGCCTGCGGAGACCAGAGCTGGGAAAGCGCCCTCCATGGGGCGGGAGGAAGGCATGTTCTGTGCAGGCGGGCCACCCACTCCCCGCCTCCTGCTGCAGGGCCGCTGTCCGCACACCTCTCAAAGCCACACCGAGGCCCAGACAGACAGGCTGTGCTGCTCACAAGCCCTCCCCCTGGCCCCCTGTCTCACAGAAGAGGAACAGGCTGGGAAGGCTGCCTCCTGACGCCTGGGTTCAGGGGAATGCCCACCTGCTCCAGGGGCTGCTGGGAGGGGACCCCTGGCTGGCCGCGCCCTAGGGGAGAGTAGAGGTGCCTCACCCCCCACCCCTTTCTCTGCTAGGGCCCTGCTTCTGGGCCACACCCCCTCTCCAGGGGCCACCGGATCCTGATGCTGGAAACATCTCCAAGGCGCACAGCTGGCCCGGGGCCCACATGTCCCATCCCAGGGCCCAGAGGTCCGGGGACGTCTGCCTGGGACGGAGGGAGAGCCCCCCTCACTCCACTCCACGGCTCCTTGGCTTTACGTGCGCGGCGTCTGCTTAAGACTTCAGAGCAAAATGTGTACCATTTGAGCCTTCACAACTGGGGCAGGGAGGCCTGGTAAAAACCAGTCCAAGATGGATCAGTAGCAGCAAAGTGCTCCGTGTTCAGCCTCTGCCTCTGCCTCTCCCTCCCTCTCTCTCCCTCTCTCTCTTTCTCTCTCACACACACACACACACACACACACACACACTCGCTCCTGGCCAGAACCATGAGCACACCCACATGCAAGAAAAGAGTTTTCTATTTTTTTGTGTGTGTTGTTTTTTTCTTTTTCTTTTTCTTTTTTTTCTTAAAAAGGACGTATCCAAATACCTGGATAATAAATCATTTGCGTTTCCTAAGAAACGGGGGTTTTCTTTTCCCTTGTGGTTTTGGTGTTTTTCTTCTTCCCGAAGCAAGTTGCTTCCTTTCCTTTTAGCTTTTGGACGGAGAAAGCATGTGTACTTGACTGACCTTCAGAGAGGAAAATGGCGTGAAGACAGAGGGCTCAGGGAGCGGGGGGAAATCACTGGCCGAGGAAGAGAAGTGAGAACGAAACGAAAACAAGCCAGGGCTGCAGGCAGAGGGTGGGGGGTGGAGGGAGGGCCACCCCCTTGCTCCCCGGTTTCCAGAGGCCTCAGCCCACCCTGGTTTCTGCACAAAGGACTGAGCCAGGAGAGATGGTGGGGAGGGGGGAGAGGAACACCAGAGTCCATGGATTCCTAAGGCTGGTCGTGGTCTGGGGTACGGCAAGGCTAGGAAGAGGAGGGTGGCTCTGGCTGGGAACTGGGGGTCAGCAGAGGTGAGCTGCCACATAGAAGGTGCCCGGACCTCCCTGCACCCGCCTCCGGCCGGTCCCTACCAGCCCGCAGTCAGGGTGGCTCAGCAGTCCCCGTCGGTGGCCATGGCCACCAGCATCTCACTCTTGCCCATCTCCTCCAAGGCACTGGCCAGGCTGTTGAGGTCCCCGTCGTCCTGCTGGAGAGCTTCCCAGAGGTCCAGGATCACCCCCGTGGGGCTCGCTTTGGTGGCAAAGTAGTTCAGGTACCTGGTGGAGGGAAGGAAGAAGGGTACCGGGCTGCCCCAGAGCTCAACACCGCCCGAAGCCCGGGTGTGGGGAGAGAGTGAGGAGGGGGACGCCTGGGGGCTCAGTCCCCCAGTCCTGGGTCTGAGTCCCAGTTCCTCTGCTTGCAGGCTGTGTGGCCCTGGGCAAGCCGCTGCACCTCTCTGAGCTTTCGTCTCTTCGGCTGAAACACGGGACCTGTCTTGCTCATCACCATTCATCACCTCATCATTATCACTGAAACACACTGGTCCGGAGTGGCTGGAGAAACCAGCTCTCCATTCTCTCTTCCTCCTCCTACGGCCAGCCCTGCCGGCCCGGCCCCGTGGGCTCCCGAGAGCCGGGAGAGAGCCTCAGGCGTCTTCGCAAACCCCACCCGTTTCTACTACGATGTCCTAAGCCTGGCGTGTGCTCAGGGCAGGTGTAGGAAGTGGGTTCTCCGTCAGTGTGACATCATGATAACGGCCATTACTGCCACTGCGTTTACCCAGCATTTTAAGGTCTCCAGGAACGTCTGACTCCACGCTGTCTCTGTTCCTCAGCTCGCGGGGGCTCTCGCTGCTCCGTCCCGGGCACCGGGGTGCTGACAGTGCTGGGCCTGGCTGGGCCTGGCCTCACCCGACTGCCGCAGGCCAGCACGTAAGCGCCAGCCTCTCATTCATTAGTCAATGGGCGTCTCGGACCCTGCACCCTCAGGGGGCCGGGTCCCAGCACTCACCGGTCCATGGAGAGCTTCTTCGCCAGCAGGCGCCAGTCATTGCCCCGCGAGTTGGGGGCGTCCAGGCTGTTGCATATCTTCTGGCGGATGGACAGCGGGATCTTGAAGGCGTAGGGTCCCAGCTGGGTGGTGAGCGCGCCGCTGGGAGCAGAGCAGAGGGCGTCCAGGGAGCCGGCGGGTGTCTGGAAGGGCAGGGGGCGAGAGTGAGAGGGGCAGAGGCGGCTCTAGTCAGTCCCCACCTGCCCCGGACGGGCCGCAAACGCTTCGTCAAAGGCCTTCTTCTCCCCCAGAGGCTCAGCCCCTGTGAGCCCGGGCTACACGCCTGAGCCCCGGCCCTCAGGGGGCGCATCAGGCTAGTGGACTGCCCAGGGCGGATGCTAACGCAGCCTCAAGGCGAGGGAGCCATGAGGAGCCCGAAGTCTAGAACAGGAAGGGACCTGCCCTGATCACATGCCACACAGGTGGCAGAACTGGGCCCAGGCCCACAGCCAGTGCTTTTTTTTTTTTTTTTTTTAATATATATTTTATTGACTTTTTTACAGAGAGGAAGAGAGTTAGAAACATCGATGAAGAGAGAAACATCGGTCAGCTGCCTCCTGCATACCCCCTTCTGGGGATGTGCCTGCAACCGAGGTACATGCCCCTGATCGGAATCGAACCTGGGACCCTTCAGTCCACAGGCCGATGCTCCATCCACTGAGCCAAACCGGTTTCGGCCAGCCAGTGCTCTTCCCCACAGCACCGCCAGGAAGGCCCAGCACTGCCCCCTGGTGGCCTGGCTTTCGTGGACCTCAATCCAGGTTTAGAGGGGTGCAGAGCCGCAGGCTGGGGCGGAGCAAGGTCCTGACACAGGTCCATGGTACCTGCCCTCCCTGGAACCTACGTTTTCATCTCCCGGGGGATCACTGGGTTTGTTTCCCTGGTGGCTGTGGAGACTGAGTGAGAAAATCTAGCAACAGTATATGCCAAGCACAGGGTCGGCACTCAACAAATAGGAGATGTTGGGAAAAAGGGCCCAAGTCCCAGCTCAGACTGGGGGGCATGTCTCTGTGTGAGATGGCGTTTCCACTCAGACGGGGGGGCGAGCACGGGTGTGCATGCCGCCCCAGCCCTCCCGCCTCACCTCTGCCAGCGTGGTGTGCAGCTGGAAGATCTGGCCCTCCCCCTCCACCTGCCGCACGCAGATCTTGCAGGTGAACTCGGTGGCGGCCAGGCTGTGCCTCTCCAGGGAGAAGGTGCAGTGAAGGGCCCTCTGGCTGCCACTCCAAATGTGACAGAAGGGGATCTCCTGCGGAAGGAGGAGGCGGGTCAAGGAGACAAGCCCGGCCTGCCCAGGCCGCCGGGAGTGACCGCAGAGGAGGAGATGGGGCCAGTGCAGGGAGGGCTGGGGCCTCTCAGGGGGCAGTTCAGGCCTCTCCATCCAACGGGGCAGAGGAAGAGCTGGTCAAGGGCCCTTCAGCTGAGAAAGGGAAGGAGGCACAAGCCTGAATGTGTGTGTGTGTGTGTGCATGTGTGAGCGCCTGTGTGCCTGGGGCCGGGAAGCCAGTGGATGCGGTGGTGTCCCAGGCGGGTGTGGCAGAGGGGTGTGACCATCGTAGGTAACTTGGGGCGGTCTGCCAGGCGTGGGTGCTCTTGGGGAGGGTGAGGCCTCTTGGAGGATGTGGGAGACATCTGTGCATGGGAAGTGGGTGCGAGGGGAGTGTGGCTGTCCATGGTGAGGGTGTGCCTAGGCGCGACTGGAAGGGAGCCTGGCAAGGGGGCTGGGAGAGAGACAAAGATGAAGGGGCAAGGCTGCAGGGTTGAGGGGGGAGCAGAATCGGGGAGGGGAAACTGGTCTTCCCTGGGCAGGTCCCCATGTGTGTCCCACTCCAGCCCCAGCCCCAGCTCTCCCGCCCTGCAGCCCGGCCCTCACCTGGTACTTGGCCAGCAGCTTGCTCCTCCAGTGGGCGTGCGGGATGTCGTGCAGGGAGAGGCGCAGGTTGTGGTAACTGTCCTTGAACAGCAGGGGTTTGGGCTCCTCCACGAGGTACCCGCCCAAGGTCCGCTCCAGCTCCAGCACCTCCTGTGGGCGGGGCAACAGGAAGGGGAGCCCATCGCACTTGGCCAATGGGCCTTTCCTACGGCAAGCTCGGGGGCTGGGACAGACTCAGGCAGAGGGCACCAGGCTGAAACTTGAAGGGCAGAGACCCACCTGAACACAGGCTGGGCATTGGGTAAATGCTCATCAAAGGCTTATGGACATGTGGACAGATAGGCATGTGGACAGATAGACAGGAAAAAAGTGGGTAGATAAATGAACAAATAGTGGGATGGATGTATAAATGGATTTATACATAAATGGGTAGGTTCATCTGATAGATGAACTGATGGATGGATAAATGGCTAGATAAACAGATATGGATAGAGAGAGACACAGAGATGGATCTACAGATAGATATACAAACGGATGGTTGTAAAGTAGAAGGACAGATGGAAGGACAGGTAAATAGG